ACCTCTCCTGACCCGCCCGCTGCTCCCCTCAGCAGTGTACTTTGTTGATCTGCCTGTTCTGCTCCCCACTATGTCTCTGGTAAAGCCTCTCACTGCCCCTGAGCCTCTGGCCTGTACCCCAGTTCTGTATGTACAAATAATCTTTAAAAAAAAAAAGTACTAACATCCCCAAAAACATGAATTACAAAAAATGGGGCCTCCCTGGTGGCACAAGGGGTTAAGTCTCAGCACTATGAAGCTATTGGCAGCTACTGCAGCACAAGTTCCATCCCAGGCCAGGGAACAAACTCACACAGCACAGCAGACCTCTCCTGTTTTGCCTGCTGTTCACCCCAGCAGTGGATTTCAGTCAATCTGCTCCCACTCTGTTTCTAGTGAATTCTCTCACCCCAACCCTCTGCACCTGTGGCCTGTACCCCAGCTCTTATATGCATAAATAAATCTTTTTAAAAATCATAGAAATGAATTAATTTGAAAGATCTTGATATGAATGTTGAAGAGATATTGATTGCAAATTATTAGTTTTAAAACTAGAAAATCTGTGGAAGGGGCTATAGGAATCAATATTACCATATATGGGTATAAGTTCAACAGCTTATTCTTCTCTTTAACTTATCATATAGATTCAGGTTATGAATGTAGATGTAGATGAATGTAAAAGGACTTAAAAAATTTTATAAGAGATGAAAATCCAGACCTCTGTTAGTTTACTACAGACTGTACATCTTGATTTATTTAGGACTCTTTTTCTGAGCTTCTGATTGCCTTCATAAGGAGACAAAGAAGATATACTAGAAAATGCTTGGATGGATTCATTGAATTCCACTTGAGGAACTGAAGCCTTTTTGGTAGGGGCATCTCTGAAACACAAGAGATAGACAAATCACTTAAGAACACTATATTTTAATAAAAGTCAAAGATATTAAAAAAATGAACTATTAGCATGTTTTAATTCTAGGTATCAACTATAATCTTATAAACTTTATGATTATAAAGCTGTTTGGTTTCATTCTCAAGAGTTTCTAAATAATTTGGTAAGAGAAGATTGGAGGTAAAAGTATTCTGAAGCACAAGTACTTCACCACATGTTCTTAGAAAACATTCTAAAGTTCTTAAGAAACATTCAAAGTTTGGCAGCACCTTGTCAAAATGAAGGTAGAAGAGGGGGAAGGGAAGCAGGCAAAGGCTGTGGCAAGTAAGGGCCATTTTATTTCTATACCTATCTTCCATTTTCCTGCCAAAAGAAAAGTACAAATGAGTATGCAGTTCTGACTAGGCTAACTTAAGTTCAATAAAGTTGAAGACACGTCTTCAACAATTCTTCCTAGGAATCTCAAAGTTCTCTCATGATATTTAAAAGATGCATTTTACTGCCAGTATTCAACCACACAGAGTTATGTTGAAAGGTACAGCTTACTTTTTACATATTACATTTCGGTTCTTTGGAGCACGCTTGTGAGAGAAGGAAGAAAGGCAGATAGTAGAACAAAAGAGGTGAACTGATCCTTTTCGTTGATAAGCTGTCTGTCCCTTCTGTAAAGGATTTTTGCAGTGTGCACAAGTGATTTTAGCTGGTTTAATAAGTCGTGGCTGGGTTGAAGGCTGGAAAATCTGTTTAGGAAGGGAGGCCACAGGTGATAAAGAATTCACCCTTGGTTGTTTCTGAATACGGGGAAATGATGCTGACTGGGAGATCCAAGAATCTTAAAAATAAACACAAGAAGAAGTCATGGAACAAATCAAAATTCACATCAGAAAAATATTTAAAATTTTCATTTACACATATAAGAGACATGTAAAGCAGCTATATACACATGTAGTTAATGCCAGGCAAATCCGGGGAATTATTTGTATTCTAAGTGGCAATCTATCATGCCAAAATATAAATAAATGGAGTCCCAGATGTGCAATGCTGTAGTCATTAGTTTTTTAGTCAGACTTACCATGTTCAAAATGTATATCCTGACCTTACTAGATTGTACAAGTATAGTATGTCTTGGTTTTCTCATCTATAAACTTGCAATACTAAATGCATCAGAGTGTAATAAAGACTAAATGAGATACTGTCTGATACTTGGGGCTTTTTTGCAAAGAACATTAGCCACTTTTTTCCTTCTCTAAGAGGGAACTAGTAATAAATTATAGAATAATGTAAATATGAAAATACAAAGATAATTATAGAGCCTGGAATAAATATACATTTTTATAACAATCCAATTCATTATCCATCCCCTCTTAACATTTTATTATGAAAAACTTCAAGCATGTAGAGAAGTTGAATTTTACAGCAAATACCACCTGTCTTTAAAAGTAGATACTTCACT